CGGCAGCAGGGGCGATGACGCGCCAGCGGGGTATATAGTGCGGGCGCGACGCCCTGCCGTCAGAACAGTCGGTTGAAGCAGTAGCAGACGCAACCGCTCCGTCCCGTCACAGCTCCCCAGCCGTTCGACATGGCCGCTCTTCGTGTGTTCGTAAGTGTACGCCGTGCCGTCCGGTGGTTTTGGAGACGATTTTGTTGTTTTTTTACTTCGGTCGCACTTTTCTTCTTTGGGGGGATGCTGCAACTCGCTGTTGCAGAGGATTTTCTCATCAATGGGGATGAGTCATAAGAAGGTGAAACTTTAGTTGCTTTTTTTAATGGTCAACTCATGGGAGGAAGGAATATCTGGGGACGTCTTTTCCTCTTTTGATATCATAGATCGTAGGGATGTTGTAAAAGAAAGCGACATAGGTACGAGATGTATGTAAGTAATACTTACGCAGGAGCGGATCGAGAGACGAATTTTGGAAGAGGGAATTCAAAATGTTTTGGACGAATATGTCATATTACAGATTTTGTAAAATGTCGCAGGCTACCCGAAGCTCGTGCTGCGATACTATTTTATTGATTTTAATGACTATCCGAAAATATAGTTTTTGAAAGTTTCATGACAAGTCAAAGTAAATAGTTACTTAAACATTTCAGGGGCGATTTCCCTGCTCGTATATCCACGCCTGATTTACGGCTACTTTACACTATGAAGTATATTTTCCTTTTTGTTATTCTCAATTTCATAGGCTAGTCATAATTTAAAATTACTTATCATGACTCTCTTAATTAAAAATGTTCTCTTAAGCATTCTCTCAGCTAACAAAAAATATTTATCATGTAAGAAATATGTAAAGATAAAATCAGAAGAGAATAATCATTCGTGACAAAAATATTAGTGTGTGATATATTTGCACTCACTATTTACAGAAAAACGATAAGAATCGATTAAAGTTTTAGTGAGAATTACTATTCACATGAGCGGAGCTCAATGGGCTATTGACAGAAACATTTTTTTCAACACTACTACGTGCAAGTATATTATGTTTTTAGGAACTTTTCTTACATGTAATTACTGAGGTCATGAAACTATGCGAGTTTGAGATATCAACAAGCGCATCCTTAAAACAAAAATACAAATAGTTACTACTACATTTTTACACAGATCGAATCGATGCCTCTACACAAATCGAATTTGAAGTTTTTTTTTATTGAGAAGCCTTTTACTAAAAAAATAGTACTATTAACGAAGGTGGATATTAATTTCTTCGGAATTGTATGTCGGTGCGGCAGCCTTTCTCTGGAAAGAAGTAGCAAGGCTGTGTTGACGAGAATTGCACGGGCGTGACTAACAACCTTCGGCAATTTGAGACGCTCTCCCAGGAGAACAAAAGGGAAGGTCGGCTCCGCTTCTGGAGGCCTGCGTAGGGAACTTCCGTTTCCCTATCATACACTGCGGTCCAAAAACATAGCCTCACTTACGTTGAGTTCACAACGCAAGATGTCCTCATTTCACTTCAATGCACTCATAGTTTCACTTGATTATTACATTCTCACTATCCTGGAGCAATTTAAAAAAATCTCAAAATGTTTTGGATTCTATTTTTCTAAAATTTTCTGAATTTAAGAATGGATATAGAATCAATAAATATACGTATTATGAGATAAACAGCACCTGTGCTTGTAACTTATTGTTATACTACTGACTGGCTCTCTTCTGCCATTTCTAGTAATGACTGTAGAATACAGGGGAATTCCTTCTTTAGTTACTACGAATGCTGTTTCAAAAGTAACATTACTGAGCGAAAAGAGACTGAGGGTATTTTTCGAACTTATTTGTGGCACGTATCCTTTTAGATTAGTAAATGTGAGCGAAATGAGTGATGGAAAGAGTTCAAATTCTTACTTATGACGTTCGGTTCTGCAATTTTGGAGAAGGTGCATCTAGAGCTTTTGTGATCTTGTCGGGGTCTGGATCAAAAACCAGCTTTTAATTATGTTTTGAATTGTTGCAAAAAAAGTTTTTTGTTCGCACACGCTTTGATATGAACAAAGTTTGTTCTCGTCATATTTTCAGAGAAATTATTTCTACCTAAAATATAGTGAGAATATATTCACCTTTCGGTGAATTTCAGAATACAAATTACGGTGGATATGAATGGTGAGATTATGAACGTCTCTTTATACTTCTCAAAAATGCACAAGTGTGTGGGAATAAAAAGTTGGTTTTGATAGGAAACGTCTCTACTATTAATTTTTTCAAACTAAAAAAATACATATTTTATTTCTTGGTTGTAACAAACCCAACGTTCGTCCACCGAGCACTGAATTAACAATTTTTGTTAGAACTAAATATTAAGAGTAGTTATGTATAAGCAATTATTTATTTAGTTTAATTTAGTGATAGTAGTTAATGGTTACATTTGCACTTAAACGTTTCCTCGGTGTTTTTAAATTATTATCTTCTGATTTTCAGTAAAAATTCCCTTAATTAAGCTCAAGAGTGTGATTATACTCTTTAAATTATCTAGGCCTCTAAACTATAACCTTGATTTCATATTAAAATCATTGCTGAGAGCAAAGGGATGAAGCCAAAAGCTATCTCAGTCCTCCTCCGGAGTGGAATTCACCCTTGCGATGTCGTAATTGGATGTAACCACCTCGCGATGACTGGCAAAGCTTCAGCCTTCCGCCCCGAGCAATGCGCTTAACCTGAAGAAAGTCGGTCGATGGAAGAGAACCATCTAGAACAATCACGCCTTCAGTTCTCGAAACCCCTCCATGTGAGTACTCAATGAAACGCACCTTCCAATCATGATCACTCAACTTTATTATTTTACGGTTCACGTTAAAAGATCAACACGCAAGAGCATTGTATTGAAGTACATTCGCTAGCTTCCGGCGCTCAACCAGCAAGGCCACACCATGGGCTTGCATTTCTTTTTACTTTCTCGAATACGTAATAAAGAGAAAGTTATGTAATGCTGCAAAGCTTGGTGTTATGAATTTAATCGACATTTACTTTGGGGATTGAATGTTCTAATAACTTCTAGTATTTCAAAGAGAGCTTTTTATTTTTAGTAGTACATGAAACCATTAGGAATTTTCTTATAAATGACTAATTTTTCTTCTGGCAAATGTGGAAGTTTAAAAAATTGCAGAAATTATTTTTTTTCTAAACTGACATAAATCTTAAATATTAATGCTATAGATTTATTATTCTTTCAATATATTTATTGTGTTTTTTCTTAAAACATTTTACATTACTTTTTCAAAATTGAGTATGTTTTGAGTTATATCATTATAAAGATTTGTAAGTTGTTCAAGCTGGCCAAAGTATTGGTAAGATACAAGTCACAATGTAATATTGCTTAACTGTTACAAATAGTTCCTTAAAGTATGTGCTGTTGTAGCACTACAAGTTTCTTTTCTTTTTCGTAGTGTTAGTCAAACACGATTGCATGATCCTCAAGGTCAGCCCATTGGAATGCCGGTTATGAAGGGGAGGGTAGGACGGGACGATTTGAGGAATATGATGAGAATATAAGAGAAAGGGAAGAAAAAATCCCGTGCCGTTCATGGCTCAATGTATAGTGCGTTTCTCCGGTATTCGCTTGGAAGAGATCAAAAAAAAAAAAAAAAACACTGGTGCTAAAACGACACATACTTTTTCAGCCACATTTTCACTCGAAATTAGGTGAAAATTATTTAATTTTCGAAAAATTCTACATGACCTTATTTCAATATCTATATTTAAGGAACAGATTTCATTAAGAGAAAAATCTCTATTTTATAATTGTAGTTGAAGGAAGTCGCCGAAAAAAAGTGAACTTTAGCAATTTTTCAAAGTCAGTGTTTCCAACGAACACTATTCAACTACAAAATTTAATCACAAACGATGAAGGAAATTTTGAAAGTTGAAAAATTTCTAAGGGATTTCATGTAAAGTACCCCTCTCCAAAAAACAATTAAAAAATCGGTTTCAAATTCAAGGAGCCGCGACATCAGCCAGATTGATTGGGGGATATCAATTTTGGAGCAAAGCTACTGAACGGTTTAGCCACTAGCGTTGTTCGCAGACGGACAGACGTTTCGCCGTCATTCTATTTTGCGATATGAAGGACCCACAAAACATGAAACCTGGCTACTCCACGTGATAGATGATTTTGTTTTTTATATTTAGAAACTGTATTTACCCACTTTTTCCTTACCAGGGACTTGTAATGAGGGATTTCCTTCCCAAAATGCGCCGTTTTTTTGCGCAGCATTTATTAACTTTCTCTCTACTCCGTGGCGAGAAAATAAAAAAAAAACACCGAAAGCACAGGTAACATCACCAATTCGATTCCGGAAGATGACAAACTCACCGAAGTTAAACGAAGATATCCGGTAGCATCCTGGGTTCGATCCTTGCCTGGATTGAGTTCATGACCTCCCAATCACCGGTGCGCTTCATTCGGAATTCCTTTGCTTACACGCGCCGCTACCGAGGTTGCGTTTGAAATTGTATGGTGATATGCCCATTACATGACGCCCGTAGGAGATTGTTCCGTCTCAGTTACACAAAGTAACGCCGCGTGCGGGTGCGTGCATGCGGAACTACCCGGACGTCGCCCCGCCCGCATACGGGCGTTTCCGGAACTTCCGGTCCCGCGCACGGGCCCCTCCGAATGCAGCGCGCGCGAGAGCGCAGTCCAGGACCGGACGGGCGAGTGGCGAGTCAGCGGAATCCGCTTTCTCTGCATTCGCGTTTCGACTCGGATCCAGCACTCTTAATAAGGCATCATTCGTCAACACTGTACTAAGTTAAGACAACGTCAAATAACAAGAAGTTTTACCGTTTAAACTATATTAAATAATAATATACAATGTGTGGATTGTAATATCATCTTTGAGAAAATATCCCACTCAATTTTGACGCATTTGTGTTAAAATATTTCATGTAATTACATTGAACTTGAGAACCAAAGGTTTTTCTTCTTTCAGAAGTAAGAAAAACTTTGAAATATAGTCTCTTTTTTTAAACATCGATTTGTTTGCTCTTTTAAAGTTGATGCGTGATGTTTCTTAGCGAGGATGGACGTAAATAATCCACCTGGTTTAACATTACAAAAATACGAAGATCGAAGAATGACCTTTTGTTCTGAATCTTTGATATTCTTTTAAAATCTTTCATTTGTTATTTTCATAAGTAATTATAGTATTTGAACTATCAGCAACAAGTGCCTTGAGCCCAATGCACTATCTTATATATTATATATATCCAATTCTTTACTTATTAGTTGCCTATTTTTTCTGATAATAAATATTATATTTATTTTTGCTCAAAATAAAATGAATGCCCTCTGATGCTCGTTTACAGAGAATACTCACTTCAAAAGAATTGTTTTAACAAAGATCTATTTATGCGCAATTTTCAAAACGTTACTAATTTGAACCAGCTACATTCACAAGATTCCGTAACAAACTGCTAATTTCTTGTGTAAAATGTATTCGTTTTAATTTTCCTTTGGATTGACATATGGTCATGTGATGTTCATTAGATTGAACAAATTAGTAATTCAACGAAATTTCTTCAACAGTTCTCGACTATGACATAAAGACAGATATTAAAAGCCGAATATCAAAGCAGCCTCCCAGTAGTTCCACCTCCCCAACCCCAACTCTCCCATGGTTGCCTCGCAAGTCCGCGGGGCGACGAGTTGAGCAAAGCGCTCTGTCCGCAGGCTGTTCTGCTGGTGCTGATCGTCGCTACCGCGCTGGCGGTGCCGCTGCCCGAGCCAGACCCCGAACCCGCGCCCGGCGGCTGGGGCGGAAAGCAGTAAGTGCAACACCCGTGCAAAAGAACACATTCCACGCTTTTGATTTCTTCACTGATACATTTGATGAAGAACTAATGCATGTTGTACACAATGTTGTACATACGTTTACCTTTTAGATCAATACTATATAAAATAATAAATAAATAGACACGTTTCGTTTCATCTTGTTAGGGTGTCGTTTCGCCCAATATTGCTTACCACTTCAGAGCTTTTATTAAGGAACATATGTACATTTCTTGATTCTCCGAATGCTAAATACTCAACTTCAGTAAAATAACCTTTAAAGAGATCCAGAATGTTACACAAAACGACTCCGAAACATGATAAACTAAAATATTATTTAAATTTTTTCAGTTTTTAAATTTGCTAGTGTTTATTGGGTATGTGTATTGTTGAATAGTACTTTTGTCACTATTTTACAAGAATAGCATCATACGTTCATTCTTTTTCGATGCAACTAACATCTTTTGTTCATTTTATTGCTTTGATGACAGACAATCTAATAGTCATTTTCCATAAAAGTGAAGAATACAAAATATGTTTATGGTCAGTTACTTATTACGAAACGTGCCGATGTACTATTGTGGAATATCCCAAGTAAAAATCAAAACACATGTACAGAACGTCTACGAGAACTCTTAATTCGTGCATTTTGCATTTCCTTTTCACGAAAAAATAATACTGGGGATGTGGCTGTTTCAGCGAGCATTACATCATCCACGTGCCCTACCACGTGCACACCGTCCACCACCACCACATCAAGAAGGTGCCCGTGTACATCAAGAGCCACGGCTGGGGATGGGACTGAGCGCGCAGGCTGACTTCATCCGGTGAGTGCGTCTGGAGTTACTGAACCGAAAGGGACATTCAAAAGACGAAATACTCTCAAAAACGATTAATAACTATGCGAAGAAAAATATCACGCCTGTTTTGAGTACAATTCTTATACTAGTCTTTTTATTTTAAAAGTTATTTTATAAAAATGTATGAACATTACTTAAACGGATATTCAAGTCTATTTTCTATTAAACTCAAAATTTATGTCCAAATTTTAGAAAATAATTCATAGGTACCACATTATATAGAAGTTACTTTTGTGTTTTACATGGATATGTATCATTATATGTTTCATTTATTTCAAGTGAAGTGCCCGAAATCTTTCCCTAAATAATTGTAGAAAATATAAGAATACGACAACCGATATTATTTTACTATTATTATAGAATATAAAAACCCATTCATCACGAAGACCTCACAGAGTTGTATTATAACTCTATGAGTCACAGGTAGTCCATCTTACTCGAACACATTTCAGTAGCTGTTTCACACTATATATATATATATATATATATATATATATATATATATATATATATATATATATATATACACACACGCTTTGGTAATCACTAATTTGACCGTGAAAATACCACAAATTGTCGGCAATTTTTATCTTTATAAAAATAAAGAGCAGTATGGAGAGTCGCTGTAAACAAGTTCTTCATATTCCTGAAATATTTAACAGAATAAAACAATACAATTCATGGTTATTCAACTTTATAAAAAAATATTTCAATAAAAAGTCCTTCGAAATAGTTAATAAGTAATAAACGAAACAAAAACTTATTACAAAAAAGTTGCAATTCCACCAGAATTATAGTATAAATACCTCACTTTTTATACAAGAGAGTTCTCACTTCCGTCACCACATCTTACGTCGCCACAACGACCCTACAATAAAGCAATCATCTTATGCGACCTCTTGCCTCCATTACTACGCTACGCTTCGCTTCATTAAACACAGCCCCCGGAGCCACTCAGGAGAAGACCACTCTCACATGCGGGAAGTATTCAGGGCACGTGCTCACGCCGTTTTTTTTAAACACGCGGTAGTCAAGAGAGGCAGCGTGCAATGATGCAAACGGCCGACGAAGCGAACGGGTCGAGTGGGAGAGGAACGGAGCGGTAGCTGGGATGCTTTCTCCGCCCCGCTGCAGGACCGGATCGCTCCCAGATCCGGATCCGACCGCCCGCCCGCTTTCGCCGTCACCTGCGACCGGTTCCTGCACCGAAGCCGGTGTTCCTCAGGGTCCTCGCAGTGACCGGGGGTCGACGTGGAGTAGAGATGACCAAACCGTCAATCTCGAGCTAATTTTCGATACATCGCTGAATCACGCGAATTTCTTATCATTAAAGTTGCTCTACTGAGCACAGAAAAATGAATCACAAAAATAGCTGCTTGCTTACTCTCTCTCAACTGTTACTATCAGTCTTATAGATCTTTGCGAGACACTGAAGCTGTAGCCGTCATGTTTTTCGTGTTTATATCAATACCCAGTTTTTGTCGGGTCTAAAAATGCTCAGTTCTACATAACTGTGTAAGGTTTCTTTTTTCAGTACGGGTTTTTAGAAACCCAAGTACAAAAACAAATCAACTTGCAGTCTATTATCATGATACTTGCACAAACGAAATTATAATAAATTAACATAAAAGGACAATGAAAACGCAACATATGTATAGACGCAAATATTCATAAAACGTAGGACTAACTTATATTATCTATCAAAAAAATCTATTTTATAACAACTCCTATCATTGTTTCAAAATTTTTTTTCAAATTCATAACATTACAATATCCTTGGCAGACACTTGTCACACTTATTCTAAACTTAAATAATGCCAGTATCATTTCAATGATGAGCTGCTATTTAAGACTTGGAAATCTGAGCTACCATCTGTGAGGTATTCGCCTATGCATGTTTAATTATAATAATAATAATAATAATAATAATAATAATAATAATAATAATAATAATAATAATAATAATGATTATGATGTTTACTTGTTGAGAAAAACTCAAAACGCAAGGATTACGTACATATCAATGTTTTTGCGACAAGAAAGCTTTGATTTGCAACACGCCGCTTGCCTAAAAGTTTCTTAGGATGTCGACATACGTGCAGACTGTTGTTGACGCCTTAGCTCCCAATGGTGACAGAGTCCTTTGAAGTACTTTTCAATGCTTGCGCGTTCTTTCATGAACTGATCAAGAAGTCACCTCTAATAAATATTTCCATCTGCTAAATGGAAGCTTTACGGATACTCTCAATGGCTTGGGAGAGCCACCTAATATAAAACGTTTAGTATTTTTGGAAATATAAGTTTTAAAAGTATTATTATTGTTTTGGAAAGCTTTTAAGTGGTAGGTTCAAATGAATTTTCGTCAAGTATTGGCGGAAGTGAATTCTGAACAAAACGAAATCAATTTGTATACAATACCGTGCGGATAGATCGGAACAACTCTAAGATTTTTGTTCTATAATTTCATCTTTGTGAATGACTAAAAGGCTAGAACTCTGACAAGGCATCTCAGTAAAGTCTTTTCAAATTATGGTGAGTTAAACGTAAAGAGCAAGGAACAGTTTCAAACGAAGGACCATGCATTGAATCCAATTTATTAATGAACTGTGTACACTTTCTGGCCAGTTGCCAACAACAAACGAATGAAAAGGCACTGATGTGTCGGGGAAGGTTCTGCCGTCTCCGCACGGGTTTGCGACCACCGCCCACCACAAAGCGAAAGGTGAAAGCTGCGGCGAAGTAACACCGTCCAGCAACCACCGTCCAGATTCATTAAAAGAAACGTTGATCGATGAACCAGGCTATTAAAGCGAACACTGATTGATTAATGGCACCTCACTGATGTCTTCATGTGTGCGTACAAATAAAAGGAATGCTTCCTGCTTTCTTGGGCTAAATTCACTTGTTCCATTGGTTAGAAGGCTTCAGGAATAATACGCAGTTGTGTTTAAAAACACGAATATAACATGCCCAAACTTTCAGTTTAAAATTGAACGATGAGTTATAACAACTTTTAATTTCGAAAATGAAAATTGTTTTCATTCATGTATCAATTAATAGAAGCATATATTTATAATTGAACGACTATAAAAATGAATATTCAATATTTAATTATATGCTTATTTCATTGTTACAGATTCATCAATCACAATCCACTTTCGTAGTTAGGTACTAATAATGGGCCAGAGAGCTTCTTCGGAATTTGCTGGCTCATCTCTGTCATCAATCATCCTGTTCTCACTTGTTGACTTTGTTTAAATGTTGACATATCATGTTTTGTATTATATGTTGTGTACAGTTTGTAAAATACACGTTTTTATACTTTTTACCTACTACCTCATTGTGTTTCATTTCCACTGGGTGTTTATTTACCTGATAGAAGTTATTTTTAATCCTACAAACCCAATATCCTAATTCCCACCCTGGTGGCAAAACCCTGAAATGGCGAACGCCTCATCGGCTGCCAGAGATCGCTGTCATCGCGACCAATCCAGTTGGTACGCCTTGTTCACGAAGTAGGCAACCCTCCATACACGAGTGTAGAGCGTACTGAGAGGGGCGTGATGTATGTGCCAAGCGCAGGGATACTGAATTTATAAGAATGTTAAACAAAAGTTATCATAAATTACAAAACGGGATGAACAATTATTTAACGCAACTAATAGAATAATATGTAATCATTTCAACTTTAAAAATTTTTAGTATGTATCTCTTGTCGGCAACAGCTCATCAAATGGTTGGCATAAAACTATTCTTTGTACTTCAGGTAGACCGCCTCAAACCTCTACTTATTTCAACTTAAAAATAATTATTATCGTGATTAATATCTGAAAACTGTTCCTCAGGTTTAACTGGAAGATGACACAACCTATGTAGTATTAGTAGTTTGTTGTGAGTCTTTAGGAGATTATTATTCACGAGCGCAGAAAGGAAGCATAAGAATTACTAGAGCCCGGATGACGCCATGTTTTTTTTATTTCTGTTATTTTGATGAAAAATGTGTTAATCATGTTAAATATGATTTCACCTGCAATTACTAAAATTAGGCAATGTTTAAGGTTATTGAATTTTCGTATTTTTGTCATATTTTTATCTTTTTTGCATTTTCGCATTCTTGTTTCCAGTCGTCTTAAAGACTTTTTCACATCTCTTAATTGTCATATAATTTCTTACAATTGTATCTAATTATTGTCTGTCGTCCCTATAAATGTATATTATAGAAATTATGTATGTGTATGAAATATGAGAGTAATCTATGTAGAAGGAGATAAAGAAAGCATAGAAAGCCCTAATAGCGAAGGAAGTGTTAGTTTAGTTTTGTGTGGTTTTGTGTGAAGGTCAATTAGTTGTATAAATAACTTTGGTAGGTAGATATGCCTTCACGGGGCGTTAAAGAAGAACGAGCCAATTGTGAATGTGCTAGATCTGAAAAGCATGTATGCACGTATGCACGTATGCACGTACGCACTTTGGCATAACAGCTCTTCACGAGCTCAGGCCTCCCAGCAACGCCCCGGCCTTGCGGCCAGGGGTTAAGGGGTGCGCGTGGTTAACACACAGCCATACCTACGCTGCCTTTCTGGTATTCTTAACCTGAGAAGTACGCTTTCTCATCATCACAGGGCAACACATTCTGGGACACTACAAGGAAAGCGCAAATTAATGTTTGCCCCGATCGGGAATCGAATTCGCCATGGAAATCCAGAATGCTAACCAATTATTCACCGTGAGCTTGCAGGTTTTAAAAGTATATTTTCAATATAATGGTTATTTAAACAGCGGCTTGTGTTCAATATTTCGAAGATGCAACCTAAAAGTTTTGAAATTAATCATATTTTCTTATTTTTAGGTCGTCAATGCTCGCATATTTTCAGGTTATAAACATCCGGATCCCAATAATTACTAACGAGAATATAATGGTATTTAACCATGTGTCACATAGATTTTTATCCGACCACTTTTTCAACATTTTAGCTATTTTAAAGGCTTTATGACCAGATATATTCGAACGAAACTTACATTATATATAATGAGCCATTCTCTCTATAAATATTACAAGAAGAAGAACTATCGCCGTGTACATCTTACAAGAAAACATCAACAGAAATCTCGTAGATGTGATTTTGGCGAGGGAATTACCTACCCCTAAGTTTGCATCAATCAAATTTAAACTAAAATAAACATGTTTCTACGAAATCAAAATTACATAATATACTTTAGAGCAAAGAGAAAACAGCAACACACATTGTGTTGTAACATACGTTACCATCTGTCATAACTCGCAAAAAATGCGTTACATACTTTTAAATAGTGTTTTAGTGCTCCTAGAGACACGCAAATTAGGTTTTTATCCAAACTGAGATCTTTGTGGATATTTTCGTACATTTTTAGGTATCCCCAATTCCCTCCGTGATTATAATAATGAATCACAAAATGCGAAAGGTTTACACGGATTCAATGGGTGTATTTACTGCAGGAATATTATATGACGTAAAAGAAACCAATTAATCTACTCTGCATACGAAAGTAAACTACATTTATTAGCGATTTTGTAACCTGAACGTATTAATAGCGTAAAGTTAATTCTACCGCTCATTCATACGAGAAAACTACTAACCTTACTCCAACGATTCTGGTATCATTTTAATCCTTTTTGGAGTTAAGTGTGATCCGAAACTTCAAATTAATTCATGTTTACTTGCAAACTGCGACTTCTGAAAATATAGAATTATTGCGGTATTATACTAGTTACTGTATTGTTATTATCATATGCTTTTTATCAATCAACGCTACCGAACTACTATTACGTCAGCAGTTCACTCAAACTTTTAAGTTGAAATAACCCGAAGTGGTCGTTTCACATTTTATCAAAGATAAGTCATAACATCATATTTTTCCATGTGATATAAAACATTAGTTTTAATTAATTTTGCATATTTTGAAATTAAGATTTTGTTATGTTCTGAAGTTAAGTAAGTAGTATGTGAATTGAATTCGCGATGCCTTTCTACTATTATGAAAGAGGTGATGTTTCCATTATGGTTCAAAAGGGAATAACATTACTTGTTTTTTAAACTATATTCACGAGGGAGCAGATTCAGGTCGAAATCTATTCTCATATTTCTTCTGTGCATAAATATACCTTCTTTGTTTCTGCTGTGAAAATATTACCTGCCGGTTGGTTTCTCAGTGTCAAAGAACTAGTACCCGGTAAACCAGATTCTGTTTCGCGCGGTGTCATTAGTACACAGCATGTAAAAGTGATGACTTAAGCACCTCAAATAGGCAACAACATCATTAAATTAGGTTTATTACGCACGATGTTTTAACCACTTTAAATTGATTACAAAATGATTTACCGGGCTTTTAATAACATTAGACACGTAAAGTTATGTTTTTGGCAACTTAAACTGATAACAAAAGAATTAAATTAGGCACTTATTTTTCAGGAAAGTCAAGTCATATTTTGTGAGGGTGACTAACAATATATTATTTTATTCACTTTCATATCATTCATTCTTTCACACTTTTAATTCTCAATTCGTCATCTGCGTAGATACACCAAGAATGGGGGCAATTGCCAAGGAAGTGATTATCGCAGACAAAAGCGAAACATCCACTATATACTGACTTGCAGACTGCCGTATGTTCCGTGTGTTGGAACAGAGATTTTGGTACTACATTGTCAACAGCGTATTCGATAAGGGAATATTCGCGTTTCGGGAAATTTGAGTTTTGGTATAACAAATTTAAAAAATGAAAAAAGAAAGTTGTTTTAGGCAGTTTTGGGCAAAGAAATTTTAAAAATAGACATCAACTACCCTTTTAGGGATTTTAGCAATTTTTTTCGCAGCACATACAAATACTGAATATATTTCTATAGGAAAAATACCAAGCCACATTTCGATGTGAACCTTTTGAAAGTCAATAAAAAACTTCGACTGTGCAACTTCAACTTTTGTAACAAAATGGGTTAAGTAACAAAATGGGTGTTATTAATAATTAATTAATTATTTCTTAAAGCCCATACATTTTCCTACTAAATGCACTTCAATTCTTTCAAATAACATCATTAGGTTGAGAGTGATTGAAATTCAAATTTGTTATTGGACGATTCCTGAGGTTATAAAACAAAGAAGTCGGGCTGCAGCTGCTCATAGAAACGAGGGTGATAGCAACAATGGTGGCAACGGTGATTGTAGCAAACGTGACCTATTGGGGAGGAACTTGGTGGGTCAGGTGAGGCTGCGTGAAGCGGGGGGAGAGAAGGGTTAAAGAGGTGGTGATAAAAGTGGGTGGGGATGAGTGGGACAGGGTGAAAACGGTATGAGAAGAGTCAGGTCAGGTGAAGTGAGGTCAGTCAGTGCAGGCAGGTAGGTAGGACATAGATATATGGTGCACATGATTCATTCATTTTCTGTTGAATATACGATAATGAATAAGAAATACTCCGACAACGCATGGTCTTTCTGTTAGTTAAAGCATAACAATGGAGAGGTTACAGTCTATTACTCGTATACTCAATTATACAGCGTCGCAATACATCTTTTGGTTTGTCAACCGAAACGCTTGAGTTGGCATTCTCACCCGAGTATATATTTTTTCTTAAACATTTTATAAGAATGCAATTCCTGTATTAATCTAAAAAATTAGGTATGTTTCTCGAACATAACATGTTTCGTTAAGAAAGAATTTTTCAAGATGGCTATTGAGAGAAAGAAATTGCAACATTACAATATTTCCTGACCTTTACCAATAATACTCAAAAGACTGGTGTTGTGGCACTAGTTATTCATGGACGACTTTCTACGAGTATAACATTATGTCGTATCAAAGTAGGTGAATAATGCAACATTGTTACAATAGAGCAGCACTTAATATATGATCTACTAAATGTTCTTATTAAATGCAAGTTGATAAATTATGTTCAATAACAACCTACGGAGAGGTATGTTGTTAATTATAACAAATGCTTCTTCAATATAAGGTTCACAAACGAACCCAAACAATCTAAGCGAGGGCATCCAGTCCGCAATAAATCATAACGCAACAGAGAAAGCAACTAGGCGAAAAGGTGTCGTAGCTGTCTGAACGTAATAAGACAGTCGTTATTTTCAAGATACAAGATGCGATTAACGCAGAGCCATGGCTGAGGATTAAAAAAAGGCGCATCGGGAGGCGGGCCCAATTACAGCCCCGATCAGCTCCGTGCACCTGAGCAGTAATTCAGACGGCGCAGTAACGGACTCAGGCGACGTTAGCCGGGGCAACACTTCTCCGACGACGGAGCTACAGCGCAGGAGATAGAAAGGGCAACGACACAATGTTGGT